ATAGCTCAGGGGCGGATCCAGGGATGTCCAAAAGGGGGGTCCGAAAGGGGGCCAAATTTGAGCCGATCGAGACAACAATGTCCTAGGGGTCCGCGAAATTTTGGTGTTCTAGACGCCCGAAAATAACATTTGAGGCGTTGTGGGCTATCATTTTTTTCTTTTTCCTTCTTTTTTTCTTTTTTTTTACCTCCCAAAAGGGGGAGGGGAAGGGGGGGGGGGGGGTGCCGGGCCGTCCCCCCTAAATCCGCCACTGTAGCTTATAACTGAAGTTACATTGTAATGCACACAGCCATTATTCGATGACCGGGTAAAGATATAAGATATATGTCTTTTGAGCTAATACAACAATTAAAATAATTTGATTTGTTTACTTTACATTTAGCTTTCAGTAAGAAAACATTTTTTTTCCCATCAAGAATAAGCGTATTAATGTGTATATTATTATTATGTTATATATTAGGTATATTTTATTATGTAATATGTTAATTTATTAATATTACAGGTAATCGATGGATGCTCGAAGAAATAATGAAAAAAAAAACTGAAACATAGATCATTGTCCTTTTTTAAACTGGGAAATTGGAGAAATTCAATGTTTAAATTTAATTTGAGGGTTTTATAATGTACAGTATTGAAGAATACAGTTATTTATTTAACTAATGCTAAATCAGTCTGCTTGTAAAATGATTTTCCATTTTAGTGATCAGAAATACAAAACAATTAATAAACAGTAAGGCTTAAATTAATAATATTAAATAAATATCATTATTTTTTTTTTAAATAGACATCATTGATATGATATTACCTAAAGATCTATAAAGTAGAAATAATTAATAATTTTTCTTAAAAGGTGACTCATAACATTCTTATCAGTCCAAGCCTGAATACTTTATTCAGCCATCTCTAGACCAAAACTTACTGCCATCGTTTGTGTGGGAATTGAACGCAAGCAAGCTTGTGTAGTCATCTAATTTATATATCGATCATATATTAATAATGAACATGTTGTTATATTTATTGCATACATATAAGACACTATCAATTAATTAAATAAATTACTGAAATAAGCTTAAAATAATAAATTACCAATGTAAGAAGCATCTTCGAAGAATATTATTTTATTTATTAATTAAATTAGCTTTCACCAGTATCATCTTCCATAAATAGGCCTAAGCCATTATTTTAAAAGAAAGATTATTAGAACAACAATATGAAAATGATCACCACTAACACATCTATCCAATTTCCTCATCGCATTTCTAAGACAGTAAATCGATTTACTTTAATAATTTTAAAACTAAATTTATATAATTTAGAACGCATCAGAAATACTTAAAATTTACAACGAAAGCACGAATAAATGTTATTTCATCTTTCATTGAAGAATTAGAGAATTTAAAAAGTTTCTGGAATGTATCGCTTTTATACATTGCATAAAAGGTTCTTAGTCACCAATATCTTTTCCCAAACTCCCGGAGATAAAATACCCGAAAATGGAAGATGGAACCTATAATTCGATCCATTGGACTGAAGTTGTCACGTCTCATAACTGCAATTGTAGTGACGTCACCACATACGCGGAGGCGTTCAACAATACACAGGTTGTATTCTTGCTAGTTGCATACCTGTCATATTTTAGGCCAGGAATGAAGTTAAGAATCTTATGTTCTTCTTGTAGCTTAGTCTAATTGATACCATATAGTGGAGTGGTACTTTATAGCTAAAATGCATGTCATTTATTTTCAGGGTACTTGGTTCAATTCACGTGAACAACTATTAACGTAAGCAGCCATTCAAACAGATTACTTAAAATTATAGTCAAACCATAAAGTAGACCAATTCACCAACGGTTTCTTCATTGAATTTGGACATTCATTAGAACTTCAAAATAAGGAAAGAATGTTTTATAGTAGGCCTACAAAATAAAAGTGTAAAATGTACCGTATGTAGGCAACACGCGTAGAAACTCTCAAACTTTAGGCTGTTTCACAAGAATGAAAATGAAAGTAAAGGTGACTGCACGTTGAAATGTATATTTATAAGAGCATCCTGCATCTATAAATAGACTTTACCATATAATTTACTGCAATACACCTTGAGACAATCTACTATTCTTTTTTCCGTATTGCGTACAATGTGCTTTATTTAATGTGACAGTGCTTAGACCATTGTTGTACAGAACCAATGCTTAAATGTCTCTTTTAAAAAACAGTGCACAAACAACATTATGTATTCAAAGAAAATTGATGGAATAGAACCGGGATTTATTAACGCACAGTGGCACACTTAGTCTTTTTTATCCAGCTGTTTTCAACTTCTATTTATGTCAATATATACACCCTCACACACAGACACACA